ATAGCCCCTTCATGAAAGGGTCTCACTGCCTGACTGACTGGGGGCTACTGATTGGAGCAGAACCCTCACTCCACCTGCCTCCGCTTCCCCACGTTCCCTCATCTTCATCTACATCACTGTGTGTGTGTGTGTGTGTGTTTCCACAAGACAGGGTGGAGGGTCTGGGTCTCCACCGGGCTCGGCGGGGCTAGATGGGTCCCTCATTGTGGGAGGAGTGGTTGCTCCTGCTAAGACCCACACAGTTCTGCTGCTGGTTGAGCAGGTGGGACGTTTCGTTGGCCACGGCAAAGGCCACAGCAGGGGTGGTGATAGTGGTGGTAGCCGTGGCGGTGACCACAGCTGGGTTCTCCACTCCATCGTGGAGCTCTGTTAGCGTGAGTTCGATCTTAGTGAACTCACTGTCTGTCGACTGCGGAGTCTTGTCCATCCGCGACGCCATCACAGCGTTCTGGTACTGTTGTCGCGTCACCTACAAAACAGTGAAGGTCGGGTCAAGTGTCACAACAAGAGGTTGCTGTGCCGTTATTCGTGGCACAGAGCTGGTAGCTCGGTAAACAAGGATTTGACACTAAATAAGGATGTGGAAAAGGCTACAAGTAATATTGCTTTTCAAATATTCTGTAAAAAATGTAATGATTAATTTACAATGATAGCCTTTCATTATCTGCTTAGCGTCCAGTGAGAGGACAAGAATATTACTACAAGCCAGAAAATGACTCATCTTCATTTGTTTCTATAGCTGGAATCAAACCAGCAACCTTTTGTGTGTAATGTGTAAACCGCTACACTCTGGAGCTATCCATGATTCATCAAATCTAAATGTTTTAAATTGTCATGAAGTAATTATCTTACTGTCAATTTATATCAGTTAGGTAATTGCTTTTTGATCTTTTCTATTGATTTGGTACCCGGGACCCTAAAAGGAAGTAATAAAACATCGCAGAAAGTAGTACATCAGTTACGTCAGAGCTCTATTTGTGCCTCGCGGCTGATAAGCAGAATAAACAAAAACAGCCTCATGAAGCAGCAGAATTCATCAATGAACATTTCCAAAGCAAGAGATTTGCCACATTTACACATCTGGCACAACAGCAGTGACTTTATTCGTTACTTAGAAGAAACAGAATCAGAGCGACTTTATTAATCCCAGAGGGAAATTGAGCAAATATACAACAAATGTCAAGCACTCGTATAAAATGAAGTGTCTCACTGCCTGACTGAGAGTGTATGCGTGCATAGACAGTGTACAGAGATATTGATAGATAAATGTTAAGATAAATATATAGATATGGGTATAAATAGAAATATTAATATAAAAGGACAAAAATATGTCATGTATGTCAAATATGTGTCATCAGCAGCAACATGATATATTTTTTTCACTTTTAGACAGGTAAGACTTTACAAGTTATTTTTCATAAAGCAGCCATCCTCAGATATTTAATGTATTTCTAGGTGTTTTTATTTCAGAGCAGAAAATTTGGGGAGGAGAATATTGAAATGACTTGTGCAAATGTGATTTCTGAGATCCAAATTACAGCCGTACATTTGACACTGACAAAAAGCAAGTTTTATTTGTGGCTGATATGGTTGTGATAGTTGCTGCTAGCAGTGTTCATTTATTTCGAGTGAGAGGGGAAGATGCTATCAGAGCGAGTTCCTAATTGGCACAGATGGATGGCTGAAAGCTGCGAGCGCACTGCCAAAGCTTTGGTTTCATTCTCTAACTGCTCATGTTGAATGTTGAGAACTCAGTGGGAAAAAGAAAATGGATGTGACATCACTACATCACCTACAATGTGCATATAATCCTCATTGCAGGCTAATTTCTGATCCCCTGTGTTTACTCACCTTTATATACTGCAGGTCTGAGCGTGCTCTGACAGAATAATCAGGCACATATATATGCAGGAAGGAGTTGAGCTGGTTGTTGCTGTTGCCCAGAGTCGGGGTGATGGCATCTATACGGTCACTCCTGTTCAGAGAATCGGAGTGATTCAGTCCAAATGGCCGTGGAGGAGATTTATTCTCTGTAGGAGAAAGAAATTTAAAGCATACTGGAATGCAAAAGTAATGCATGGCACTGCAAAAGTACTTTAAAGGGCCCTAATCCCTAAAGGTTGATTCAGTTCATCTGGACGTAGCGTTTTCAGAGGGAGAAACGTTTCGTCACTCATCCGACTGACTTCTTCAGTCTCAGCTGACTGCAGGTTTCCCCAACCTTATAAACAGCACGTTTGCACAATAACTGAAACTAGCACCACTGAAGGAACAATGGGCTGGGAGGTCAGTTCCTTCATCTTAATTATGCAAATTGTCATGACCATTGATCAACAACCACTTATCAAAGGCCATGAGTACCATTCACAGAGAGTTGGGGAATGGCTGCAATCACAGCATTGTAAGATGGCGACAGATGTACCCTTAGGCCCCTCCTCGATTCAGAGATGGTCTTTCCCTTTTCACGTAAATGGCCTCCTTGACTCCGCACTCAGGCCAGCGTTCCTCCCTGTCCAGGATGTGTACATCCTCATCATTGAAAGAGTGTCCACTGGCCTGTAGGTGTAAATAGACTGCAGAGTCCTGGCCTGACGAGTGACGAGGTGGCTCTTCTGTGTTGTGCCATCCGCTTCGCCAGAGGTTGTTTGGCTTCCCCGATGTATAAATCATGCCAATCCTCCCGGCACATAACAGCGTACACTACATTACTCTGTTTGTGTTGGGGGACCTGATCCTTGGGGTGGATCAATTTTTGGCACAGCGTGTTTTTGGGGATTAAAGGTTGTCACTCGTCCAACTGATTTATCCATGGGGCCAAAATATCGACATTATTAGCTATTTACTGACATATCAGTACTGATGATTATAACGGCTAATAAATGAAAATGAAAAAAAGTAGAGACAGGAGAGGAAGTCTTTAAATGTTTTTTCCAGTGTGGACATTGTGTAGTTTGTCTATCAGAGGGCCCTTTGCAGCTTCCCTGGTAGAAATTTAAAGCATACTGGAATGCAAAAGTAATGCATGGCACTGCAAAAGTACTTTAAAGGGCCCTAATCCCTAAAGGTTGATTCAGTTCATCTGAATCGTGTATGCTCTGCACAGTCGGGCAGAGCATACACGAGTAATCCACGACTTGTTCGGACAATAAAACAAGATTACTTTTCAACTGTGTTGTCATATTAGCTATTAAGTACTCATAAATTCACATAACAAATTTAAAGAAAATCTGTTTATTTTTCGAGTGTCTGACAGAAAAGAACACCGGAATTGGTTTTCAGTCAGTTTTCAAACTCCTGTATCAGTTGGGCTCTATTTTACATTTCTGCTAGTCTGATCTAATATTACTGTTCCTTAAAGTTCATATGACACTAAATATTGCTTTTTCATTGTCTGTTAGATGATCTCTTTGGGCCTGTGTAATAATGACAACATAAAAAATTTAAGTTAGAAACTTTACATAATTAGAAGTTTTGTCTCAATTGTTTTGAGGACATTAAGATGCTTAAAATTTAAGTTGTACAGCACTACTTAAGATCCTTTGTATCTGTGACTTTTTTCCAGCTTGAGTCTTAGGTACAAAGCTGTGATGTATGGAAATCTAATTTATGTGTAAGTCTTCTAGTTTCATATAGCAGTCTCCAGTGATGCTGCGTTCTTCTATGTGCTACCACATAGAAGACTTGTTCTTTTCTTTTCTTGGTTATTTTTAATTAAAGCCAGATTATGTTTTCCACTTCTTAAAGAAGCCTTGTGAAAATCACACACAACAAAGTGGAAACAGCTTGGCCAACACTAATGCTACTACGCTGACTGGAATGTATGTAATCCCACGTTGGAATATGTGTGTATGAATGTGTATGAGTGAGGAAGTGAGAGGCAAAAACAGTGTGTGTGTGGGGGTGTGTAGAGGGAGCACAGTAGGCCAAAGACCTGGCATGTGGACTCTTGTGGATTAGTACTCTACTTTTTAGGGGCCAGGTCGACACAAAAAAACGTCAGTGTGCTGTGTCAAGAAAACACACATACTAGATTTATAAACACACACACACTCAAATGCCACTGCACCAACGTGAGCACTGTAGGCCTCTACTACAGACACAATGAAAGTGCATTTATTCCACAGCATTTCCTATGGGTGCGTTCACTTTTAATTCACTTTCAAAGCAGCCCTTCTATGTGTGTAGTATTGTGGGTTTTGTTCATGGGCCTGTAAATGTGAACATATGCATATGTGCATGTCTTTGTATGTGTGCTCAGTGGTGTCCAGCAGGGGGCTGTAGCTGTAGGTCTTGTTTATGTAGTCAGGGGGTTAAAGGTTAGGGGCGAGCGGGGCGGAGCCGGGTTCCACTCTGGGGCCTCTAGTCTCCAACACCATTCAGCGACTTGACTAATGGCTCAGGAGACGAGGATGTTAAGCCTCAGTCTGGATCCGTTTTCCACTCTGCCTCTTTCTCTTTTAGTGTCACACACACAAGTTTACAGTGTATGTTGCATTCAGGGACAAACAGACAGTGAACACTTTCTTTGAAAGTCACACAAAACAAGTCAGTTCTCAAGCAGACTATGAAAACCGAAAGGCTAAACACACTCAGGTATATTTAGGTAAAGCATGCAGGTAGGTGAAACTGTGACTCTACAACTTCATGCGTCTATTTAATATCAACAAAACATTCTCTTTCAAATAATGAAATTTCATCACTATTCACTAAAGGTTATAGAGTGAGAGGTGATACTGAAAATCCACTGTACCTGGAGATCCTGCTAATGACTCAGCCCTACTGACTGCAAATGTACGAGACAGTGACAGAGGCACTTGGGGGAGAGAGGGATGAAACAAGAGAGAGACAAAAGAAGCGAGAAGACAGAAAGACCAGATTGTTAAAGTCGAGAAAATGGGTAATTTAATCAATTACATATGATAACATCTGATTAAAGAAAAGAAGTGTTAACTTGTTGTTCCTCTACTGATCAGCTTAAGATGAAAACTGGCACAAACCATGAAGCATTTGATTTTATTTCTTAGAGTGCACACATCCACCACAGGAGAGTTATTCTACTGTTTCACCAGTAGGTGTCTCTCAAATCACACCACCCAAATGAATCAGTCTAATAGCCGAGGACAGTGCTGTAGTTTATGAATGAACAGAGAAGAATGAGTGGATCACTAGATGATGCATTTTCATGACCTCTCTTGATTTATTATGTTGTCATATTAGGACTTATGAGTTATTATTATTATATTATTATTTACTCACAAAAGTGGCCCATTTCACATTTTTCTCATGTAACATGATGAGTACTTTATCCATACGTAATTTTTAAAATTATGTTGCATGAGAACAAGGTGAAAAATGACAATTTTATGAGTAAATCATAGTGCGCTGCAAGTCTTATAAGACCTCCAGTACCTATAAAGCATAAAGAAGTAGTAAAACCTCTAATTCTTCATATGAGCAGTCTATAACATATTTTACTGGAAACAAGCTACAGTGGATCACACTGTAAATGGTCTATATCACAAACCCAGAGAGAAGAGCTACTCGTCCAGCTGCATTTTAACATTTTACTTACTAATAATATCATTTTTCTGTCACAGGGTTTTCTTTCCATCCATCCATCTTCTGCCAGTTTTCTGGCTATGGGGTGGATGGCTCGCTTGAGCAGGTCATCTACCAGTCAGAAGTTCAGTGGTTCGATCCCTAGCTACATGCGGAAGTCTTTGGATACTGAACAATGCAACTATTGGAGTGTGTGTGCACTTTCAATGTTAGATAAAGTGCTTAGGTCTAAAAACAAAGTGTGTTATTGAGACTAATAGCAAAAAGCACTTCAAGTGCTCAGCTAGAGTAGAAAGCAATCCCTTTATTTGCAGCAGTCTAGGCACAGATGCCCAGACCTCCCCATCCCAAGATATTTCCAAGTCTGAGAGATATAACCTCTCAAGTGTGTCCTGAGTCTATCTTGGACGGGCCTCCTGGTAGGATATGCCCAAAACACCTAACCTAGGAGGTACCAAGGAGGCATCCTGTCAGAGCCTGAATCACCTCACATCTACTCTAAGCCCCTCCCAAATCAGACACCCTTTGCAGGAAGCTCATTTCTGCCATTTGTAGCTGTAACCTCACTGTTTCAGTCAGGCTAGGAACCTAAATCAACTGGTGACTCAACATCTTCAATTTTAAGCTCAGCTCTCTCTTCCCCGCAGCAGATCAGTACAAGATCCTCATCTCCTGCTTTACTCTGCCCATACCTGTGAACCAGAATCAGTGACAAACAACACTTTAGTCAAACACCCACCTAAAGTGAGCTTGACATCAGCGCCATTGATGCAAACCAAACTTCCACTAGTTCACAGAACACATGTAGACCGGTTTGGCAAAGTCCCACCCACCTCCAAGTATTCCACAATGAGTGAAACGAAAACTGCAGTTTTGCTCCTGATTGTGAGGTAAAACTAACAGGCGGATTCTTCTGTCCAGACCCTCTCAAAGGAGGCTGACGAGTGAGATTCCCTAGAAGTTAGGATTCACTTTCATGGGTATAAAAATTTAAGACCTAGATCAAGAAATCTTACCTGGTGAGGCTGTCAGAGCCATTATCCCATAGAAGGAGAATGGTCCCGCTTCAAACTTCATCCCCTCTTTTCCTGCTTCCACCTCCACCTTCCCCTGTGACAGCCAAGGAAAAGAATCATGAATTATCTTAAAAGTATGTAAGTGCTCAACACATTACATATCAACTTATCAGCTTAGTTAAACAAAAGATTACTTATTTGTGCTGGTTTTACGATATTTCCTTTAACTTTATGCTTTATTTTTTACTTTATTTATCCTGTCTGTGAGATTATAATAAATCCACCCTGCTTCCCTTGTTTCCTTTCCTTTTTACTACTTGTAGAAAATCCTCACTCTGTTTAATAGCTCCCAATCTGCTTCTAAGCTGGGTCTCAAGGGCAATGACCCCACACTTGCTCAAGCAGAACCTTATTTAATCCAAGGCTAATATACATGTCGACTTAGTGACCTGATAGGGGAAATATACAAAGTCTGCAAACCTTTGCAATATAGACTTTGAACTCACTTTAGGAACAGTTATTTGGGACTTCCCTTTAAGGTGTACAGAGAAGTCCCAATACCCTCCCTGAACAAGACAATAGTGCTGGCTCCAGCGGCATATAAGAAACAGTGCAGAAATTCAGGGCTGCTTTCAGACCTGAGACTAAAGCTACATGAAGTGCAGAAGTCCTTGATCTATACACTATTGAATACACTAACTATTATATATTATCATATATAATTATTACGCAAATGTGTTTCCAAGATTTGCAGGGTGAAAGATTTTCATTAAGGCTGGTGTCATAGCTTGGATTTTAAAAGGTTTTAAGTTCAGTTTGGTTCCTATTTAAAGTTTTTTTTCTGAATGATGCTTAACTTTGACTTTCTAAGACATTTCCTGTCACACTCTATGACAGTTCAAATAATAACATTTAAATGTGAACACTGTGTAACAATCAGAAAACTTCATTTGAGGATAATGCAGGAATCCCACAGGGTTCCGTTTTTGGCCTGCTTGTTTTCAGCTTTGATGTGTTTATGCACATAAGATGCTTAGATGACGTATGCATTGTCCAAAACTATGTGCGATTGGTTCCACAGTAATAGTAAAGCAGGCACAAGAAGAACAAGAAGAGTTCTCTAACTCCTTGTCCAGATGAACATGGGTACTGATGAACTTGACAAATTCAGCCTGACTGTGACACGTTATCCAAAACACCTGTAAAGTGTGTTTACCCCAAACCTTTATTTCTTTATTGCTTATTGCATTATTTAGGCTCATAGATGATACTGAACGCTCTTGTTTCTATTTCTTGTAGATAAACAAAACAATTTATCAGGACAACTGTGTCTAATTTTTTTAAATGTTGGAAGTTATTTGTCAAATAAATTATTCTCCAAGATTAATGAACCATATACTGAATACATTTGAGAAGTAATTAACTAAATAAGTAAATAATTAAGTATTTTATTGGTTATAAGCAGGACTCGTATTGGTCATACTGTATGACTGTGCAATTAATGTCTGGCTAAGAAACCACACGACTGAAATTTTCTCAAGAAGGTAAATATTTCATGGTTTGATTTCACTGAATTTCATCAGGGTTAGACTCATCTGGGACATAGTGATGTCACACATTCTCACGCTTACCACAAAGAACTCAAACAGGATAACAACTTTAAACTCAAACTGAAACAATTTTTGGATTAGTCATGGATCATCTGGTTTATGTTTCATTTTATGGTACTACTTTAAAGACCCGTCTAGGGACTGGCACAATAAATTTGCTCATGCTATAAATGCTATGGTATGTGGCACTGGTCTTTTAAAATGCTGTATCTCTTAGGTCAGACATTATTATAACTAATTAGCTTCTTATCTATAGTATTATTGCTTGTTTTAGTTTAAACTGCCCTACAGTACAGTCATACCGCGCATACCTTAGGGATGCATGGCTTCTGTGGGAACAAACTCGGGCAGTACAACTCTGTTAGATCGATGACTACACCGTGAAAAACTGTAGGCCAGAGGAAAACGAATGCTTGCAGTGCTACAAGCAGCATTTTTAAACTGATCACATAGTATATACTGTTTATTCATCTGTAGTGACGGCAGAAGGAAATAATGGAACTAAATGATGCAGGTAAAACGAACTTATCCTGCATGAGCAGAGTTAGAATACTTGCGTTATTTTTTTTAATGTTAAACCTAAAATACATATCAATATTTACATTTTCCCAAACTGGTTATGTAGTGGGGGGTTTTTGTTGTTGTTTTAAAAAGTAAAAATCAAAAATCTAAGACTACTGATGTATCCTTCCACCTTGAAACTCGTTGTGTCCACACACCTGCAGGATGAGGATGAAATAATCCACAGGTTTGTTCCTGTGGAAGAGGTAGTGCTCTGGTGCCCGCTTGTTCTTATCATCGTATTTTAGCTCCTGGATCACATTTGGATGCTTCAACAAGCGCAGCAGAATCTTTTCTGACATCTGCATCGGTGCAAATGGCTCAACCTCTGAAGAGACAAGGAGAGAAAAAGACTGTGGTAAGACAAAACATTTCATTTCTTATGAAAAGTTAAATAATTATATCAATGTAATAGAATTATTCTTATATATCTCCCTTATTGCCATGAAAATCCCAAAACATAAAAGAAATTAGTCCTAAAAAAGTATTACTGTTCATGGACTATTTACAAGAAAAACGCCACCGTGATGTCACCTGATGGTTTGAAAATTTTGTTTGCCACTGAGCACATACTAGTTTGGGGATGGGCAATTCGTTTTCCAAGGGGGCCACATGGTGCTGTTACCTGTGCAGACAAAGGTTTGATGTGTTTAAATGTGGCAGTTTTACTTACATTTATCCAAAGAAAGGCATGTATATAAGCTGGCCTATTTTTTTTAAACCAAAGACCCGGCAAACGTATATTTGTATTCTTAATATTTTATTTCTAACATATTGTTTGAAACTGATTTTAGACAAAGATTATATTGAAAATGACATCAACAAAAGCGGCAGAAACCGACTTAGTAGAAATTCTCGGTTTAAAAAAGAGGAAAAGTGAAAGATGAAACTGTAAAACTGGATTTTAATAATGACAGAGGTATCGTTTTTGAGTTATCCACATAAACCTAACGTAAATATATCAAATGCAAAGTTATGTAGGTTCTGGGATATTTCTGGAAAGATTCCTTTACAAGGCTTTGTTCCTTTACTTGTCGCAGTAAGGAATTTCAGAGATTAAAATCTCATATTAGAGGAAATTTTAAGATTAAAAAAATAAAATCACGTGTATTTTCAAGTCTTTGTAGGATTTTAAATGAATCAATTGTATAATTGTTGTTTGCATTATTTATCACTGACCTAGTGGATTATTTAATAGAAAATGGCTCACAGATTATTAATTTTGATGGCATGGCAATAAATATATTTATCTTAGGGTAATGATATATGTAGACAATAAACTTATTTTTCCAACATCAAAACAGGGGATATAGAAATAGATCACTTGTGCAATCTATTAGGGATAATCACTTAAATTCTGGAGCTTACATTCCATATGTTCTCAAAGTCAAAATTAATGCATATATTGTCCATGGATAGCAGGGAAGATCGGACCCACTCTGTATCATAGTCATAAAGAGAAGGATTACATAAGGGAAACTAAACTCAGTGAACTAGCATACAACTATCTGCTCAGCCAGGATAAAATGGGAAATATTTGTCACCATGGGTCTCGCATGTTAAACAGATATTGGATAATTGTAGCTTATCTTATCTCTGGTTTACACAAAAGTTTAAAAAACATTAACTAGGTGAAACATGTTCTTAAACACTGGATGAAAGATTGGTTCTTGCGAAAGTGGCAAAGTGATCATATGATAATTAAATAAAGTATAAATAAGAGCTATAGCTAGAAAAATCATCTGCTGCAGTAAAACAAATAGTACAAATAGCAGTGGCTGACAAATTACTCGCTAAGGCGAAAGATGAATCACGGGCATGCGATCAGTGCCGCTTATTTGTCGGTTACCAAGCTCCAGATGAATGACCATGCCAAATTTCATTAAAGTTAATAGGAAGACAGAATATTGCTGAAGTAAGCATTTCCCCCTCAAATCAATTCATTAAATTACTGTAAGAACCACACCCTAACAAAAAAGTTAACATTTTGATGGTTTGGTTTTTACATGATAACAAAAATACAAAATATTAGCAACATTGTGCTGCTGCAGAAACTGTATAAACCAAAAATAAGCCAAAAATTTCAATAAATGTTAATAGAGACACCCCCCTTCCCCCTCATTGTGTCTGGTCCTCTTCAACCACCTATTGGGCCAATCAGCTCCTTCAACTCATCAGCGGTGATATGTGTCAGCTGGCTGCTGGCTCCACCACCAGGAACTAAACTCCCTAATAGCCTTTAGAGGAACTTAATCAACGCTTAGCTGCCAGGTCAAAGTTCTAAAGCAAATCCAACTGCAATGAGGCATAGTGAACCGCTGCTGCTGGTGTAGTAGTACTTGCTGCCTGCTCTGAAATCCATTTCCCGAGGGAAAGCGGGTGAAATATTTCACATTTTACGCTAGTAAGTAACCAAGTATGTCGACTTGTGTGAGAACTGCGATTATAGGCCAAAAATCCTGGACGTGATGTCACTGAGGAACGAGTGTAAGCAAACAGGGTGGTGGTTTTTAAAGCTGTGAGCAAAGATCTCAACATGTAACCTTCTGTGCATGACACGCAAGCAAATAAACGCCTGCATTTTTTTGGACCTGTGTCCATTCTGCAGACATCCTGTGTCGGGCTTATAGAGAGGCCTTCCACCTCTTTACACATACATACCAGCACACTTGTTGTGAGTCCCCACGCAATTCATTCCCTCACACATAGACGCACACAACGGCTACTCATGCTACACAAATACTCACACCTCCTCCTCTCTACACCCACTTGCCCAAAACTCAAAGCCCGTATGGGCACACAAACACACTCACACACACACTTTCCCCACAGTGAGGGGCTGAGGGCACACTGGGGGAAGTCAAGCAGCAACGCAGCCCACTTGCCTGTTGCTAGGAAACGCAGGGTAGCCAGCAGAAGCTGAGGTGATATTTTAACCTTCATTTCATTGTCGGTAGGCTTGAAGGCCGAGAAATCCTGCTTTCTTTCCCGATGTGTGATTTTCTTCTTTGTCTTGTTGTCAGCTGAGGAGGGAAAAATGAAAAGTCAGGTGTAAGAGTCAACCTGCAACAGGTTGGCTGAAACAGGAAAAGATCAGTCCACGACACTCCTCTGACGCTGAGCTAGTCATTTCGGGTCAAAAGGTGACTAAACTTGAGTTACCCTGCACTGATTACTGTTTTCCATAAAAGTAGCAGTGCTGACTTTCTGAGAACTACAGCAGAGTTATAGGAGGGCTACATTGTTACCACATTCCCGGCATTACAGAAGTACTGGCACGTACTCCATGTACACAGATACCATCATTTTTTACAAAGTCGAAGGTAAAATATTAATTATGGTTGTCCATGATTATGAATGTATTTTGACTCCTATAATTATTTGATACCCTGATGAATTTGTAGGCTTGCTCACTTCCAAAGAAACGAACACTCTACTTTTTATTGCAGTCTCATTTTAATAGAGAAAAACAGAATATCAACCAAAAATCCAGAACAAAGCACATTTCAAAAAAATTATAAATCGATTTAGAAATTGATTTGCATGGCATTGATTAAGTATTTGATCTGTGTGCCATATAGCCACACAGATCATGAGTTGCCATGTGGGCAACTTGTTATGCATATACATCAAACCTGTCCACAGAATCATTTTCCATTCCAACCTCTCCACCAATATGAGGAAAACCAAAGAATTGTCAAAGGACATCGGGGACAAGACCACAGACCTGCACAAAGCTGGAACGGGCTGCAAGACCAGCAAGTAGCTTGGTGAGAAAATGACAACTACTGCTGTAATTATTCAGAAATGGAAGAATGAGAAATGAGAAAGGTGGTGGATCAACCTAAAAGGGCAGTTGGGAAGTCACCAAGGACAGTCACCAAGAACAGCACCTCCCACCCACCCAAATCCTCAAGATGGCACATGTAGACATCTGTCTTTAGTTTTACAGGGAATATCTGAATGATTCGGAGAAGGTTTGGAAGAAATTGGTGTGGTCAAATGAAACAAAGTTCAAGCTCTTTGGTATCAACTCAACCCACCATATTTGGAGGAAGAGTAATGCTGAGAATGAACCAAAGAACACCATCCCCCAAGTCAAGCAAGGACATGGAAAGATTATGCTTTGGAGCTGTTTTTCTAAGGGTACAGGATGACTTGGACTAATTGAGGGGCCAATGGAATGGGCCATGTATCATAAAATATTGGAGGAGAACCACTTTCCCTTAGCCAGAACACTGAGGTCATTGATAGCATGACAACCCACAACATACCACCAGGACAACAAAGGAGTGGTTCAAGAAGCACATTAAAGTCATGGAATGGACTTGCCAGCTTTTAGACCTCAGTCTATAGAAAATCCGTGAAAGGGAGCTGAAGCTTCAAATTGCCAAAGGGCAGCCAATAGGATTTAGAGTTTCTATAAAGAGGTGTGGCCCAAAAATCCTTCATGAGATGTGTGTAAACCTGGTGACTAACTACAAGAAACAGAGTCATAGTTTGCCTGGTAATCTTATTTCACTCCAATAATATTTAAACTGCAATAGAAATTAGACTTTTCATTTCTTTTTAAATTAAATAAACTTACAAATTCAGCAGGAGATCAGATAGATAGATGGTGTTGGGAAGGTTACTTTTAAAATGTATTTTGTAACGTATTCCGTTACATTACACAATGACAGTAACGTATTCTGAATACTTTGGATTACTTAATACAGTGGCTTACAAAAGTATTCAGCCCCCTTGAACTTTTCCACATTTTGTCACATTACAGCCACAAACATGAATCAATTTTATTGGAATTCCACGTGAAAGACCAAAACAAAGTGGTGTACACGTGAGAAGTGGAACGAAAATCATACATGATTCCAAACATTTTTTACAAATAAATAACTGAAAAGTGGGGTGTGTGTAATTATTCAGCCCCCTGAGTCAATACTTTGTAGAACCACCTTTTGCTGCAATTACAGCTGCCAGTGTTTTAGGGTTTGTCTCTACCAGCTTTGCACATCTAGAGACTGAAATCTTTGCCCCTTCTTCTTGCCACAGATTCTCGATTGTATTTAGATCTGGACTTTGACTGGGCCATTCTAACACATGGATATGTTTTCTTTTAAACCATTCCATTGTTGCCCTGGCTTTATGTTTAGGGTCGTTGTCCTGCTGGAAGGTGAACCTCCGCCCCAGTCTCAAGTCTTTTGCAGACTCCAAGAGGTTTTCTTCCAAGATTGCCCTGTATTTGGCTCCATCCATCTTCCCATCAACTCTGACCAGCTTC